ATTAAAAGGTGCCGCCCCCCCGCCAAGATTAACAACCCCTCCCGCATCAACAACATTTTTTTTTCTGTTCCACTCCTCCCAAACATTAACAACGCCTAGTCCCCTCTCACCTGCCCCCCGCTGTGAGGACAGTGTTCTTTCTCGCTGTGTTGCATGCAAGATTAGAGCGGGAAATATTTAAGAGGACACGGGTCACTTTGGCACAAATTATGTTCCCACTTCACCAAAATCATCTGCCCCCCTCGTATTTTCTTTGATTTTGCTTGACGGCTCTTCATCTGTGACACTTTCAGTTGATCAAATGCCTGTCCTATTTTGGAGGAGATTGCTAGGTCTCAGTATTTTTTTTTTCTCTGCTTTGTTAAAAGTTTCTTTTTTTTTCCCAAATAGTTATTAAGTTATGGTCAGTTCTGGATGCTGCACGCAGTTTAGATCTTCCCACTCCCACCCTCTTTCCCCCTAGTTATGTCGCCACTAGTCGAAAAGATTATCTTCATAGCTTAATCAAAGAAGCACTGTTTTCCTGAGGTTGTTAAGTGTTAAATGCAGTACTCCAGATGGATCTCCCTCTCCACCCCCAGCTATAGAAGTTTGAGTAGTTCTCATTGTACAGGAAATCCTAATTACAATGAACGAAAGTTAGGTGGATTGGCGATGCTAAATTGCCCATAGCGTCCAGGGGTGTGTAGGTTAGGTTGATTAGCCATGGGAAATACAGGGTTACAGGAATAGGGTAGGCAGGTGAATCTGCGTGGGATGCTCTTTGGAGAGTCGGTGTGGACTTGTTGGGCCTGGTTCTACACTGTAAGGATTCTATGATGTATCATCTTCAGTTTAACTGTGCAGACTACACGCACCCCTCTTCTACCTGACCTGAGAGTTTCTTGAAATTCTGTTTTTGATTTGAATATCCCCACTTCTGTATTCAAGTTCTGTAGCTAATAGTTGAGCTTCTATCAATCTCTTTAAATTTAATGTTGATCTTGCTCTTTGTGCACCTTCTCTGCAGCGGTAACATTGTATTCCTCACTCAGCCTAATGCACTTTGCATGGTATGATCTGCCTGTACTGCACGCAAAGCAAAACTTTTCACTGTACCTAGATACATCTGACAAATTTTTAAAAAATTTCAAGGGCTTAACTTGAGATCCATTTAGGCTGCTTTTTGACTCTTCAGATGCTTGTACACTTTCATTTGAGCTACCAGTAACTGGCTACTGCCACATCTCTGGCCGTTGCTTCTGTTTTTGATAGGAGAACTCTTGATGTGGCTTTCAGCCGCTCTTCTGAGTTTTCATGTGTCCATCTTTTTTCTTATTCCTTTATTTTCTCTTAGGATTTGGCCTTCTTTTATTCCTAAAGGATGTTGAACATTTGGTTAGATTGGAAGAGGTACAGAATCTAATTTGAGCAGTAGGCACCTGTCTGATTCTGCCTCCAAACAAACACTCTAGGTTGCTCCTGTTCTGTGTTTTCAAGGCAAACTGATACACTGCCTGCTGCCCTTTGTTCGTATTGAGCATTGAAATGAAGACACTGGTCCAATGTGGGTATTGCAGAAAAGATTGACCCTTGGAAATGCTTTAGTATGAATTATGCAAACCCGTTTTTTTTAAAAACATTGATTATGTTGTCTCCTCTTATACTAGATCAGCAAATTGAGCAAGTTGGAATGACTTCGGGAGTTCCTGTCACCCAAACTCAGGCTTCAACAAAAACTTCGCAGGAGCTTTCTTGTGATGAACCAAACTCTGTATCAAGTGAACTCCATGAAGATAGTACATCTACACGTAAGAATTTGATTTTTTAAATTTTTTTCTTTTTAGTATCACACACAGGATTATGCGAAATTAACTTCCCCCAGTCAACACTGTATGCAGTGACTTGTACCTTACACAAGAGATGGGATATTTCAAACATGTGAAGTGTCTAAAATAGCTACAGAGGTAGTATTGGATAGGGTCTGTACTTCAGGTTGATAGGCACCATGACTGCATGAGATGTATGCCAGGGTACTGAGGAAAATGAGTTTAAATTGTGGAGTTACTGGCTTCATTTTCTAGAAGCAAATTACTGCAGATGCTGGAATCTGGACTGAAAACAAATTGCTGGAGATCACCGTTCAGCTCTGAAGAATCATGTAGACTTGAAACGTTAGCTTGCTTTCTCTCTGTGGATGCTGCCTGACCTGCTGTGATCTCCAGCAATTTTTGTTTTCAGCTCCATTTTTTAGTTCTTCATAGATTGAGGTGGTGCCAGAGACATGGAGAATTACAAACTTTATACTGTCCATAAAAGCTGTGAAGATAAGCACAGCAGCAGGTCTGTCACTTTGATTGTGGTAGTGGAAAAGCTTCTAGAAATGATGTGAGCCAAAAGAAATAACAGGGTGATCAATGTAAATGAGAGCAGTTGTTCAAGCACAGTATGTGATAGGATTTTGAAAGCGGTCTCAAGCCCATATTGGCAGAGGTGAGTTGTAACCTGTAGTGAAAATTAATGAGATATGTCTTTAACACCTGGGGAGGATTTGCTGAGAAATCAATGATATTGCTCTTGATTGCACTTGCTATTGTAGGTGAACTGTTTGTCTATTTACTATATAATGTAACAGAAATAAGATTTGTTTTTAATAGATTGTATGTTGTATAGTAGAATTAGTTTGTTCAAACAATGGAATCCTGTGGCTTTATTATCTTAAAAAAAATCTCCATGATCTCTGCTTAGTGTCAGATTTTACAGCATGGGGAAAAGTCTTCAGCCCATTGTGTCCTTGCAGGTTATTGAGCATCTACCTACTCATACTATTTTCCAGTACTTGGGTTTCCAGCTTTGTATACCAAAGTGCTTCATGTGACAATCTGAATGCATCCCAAGTGTTGTGATGGTTCTACATTCATATCTAAATCAAAATGTATGCTATTCAATGCCTCCCTTACTGTTTGTAATGTGGCACGCCATTGGACACAGGCTTCCAGTCACACAAACCTTTGCCAAATCGCCTTGCCTGTGGTTTCCATGGATTCTTAACACCTTGACCTATCTTCCATGTAACCGCTGGTCAAAAGCATCACTGACATTCATGTAGATTACATTCCCTGCATTACCCCCATCCATACATTTAGTCACCTCCTGTAGACTCCATCAAACCTGTCAGACATGATCTTCCCTTGACAAACTCATGCTGACTATCCTGGATTAATCCTTACCTATCCAATTAGACTGAAGGACTTGGAACAAGTTAGGAGAGTGGGCAAACAAGTGGCAATTGGAATATAATGTAGGAAAGTGTGAGTTTATGCATTTTGATAGGAAGAATAGAGGTGTAGATGTCAATGGGGAAAAAACTTTGGAAATCTGAAGCACAAAGGGATTTGGGAATCCTAGTTCAGGATTCTGTTCATGCTAACATCCAGATTCAGTTGGTATTTAGGAACACAAATGCATTGATTTCAAGAAGGCTAGAATACGAGAGCAGGGTGTACTGCCAAGTCTGTATAAGGCTCTGGTCGGACTGCATTTGGAGCACTGTGCGCCCCTTCTTTAAGGAAGGATGTGCTGATGTGGGAGGGTGTCCAGAGAAGGTTTGCAAGACTTATCCTGAGCGTGATGGGCTTGTCATTTGAGGAGTGACTGAGGAAGATGAGAGCACGAACGTATTGCTGGAACTGCATAAGATACTGCTTAGGCTGCAGCTAGAGCCTTGTGTACAGTTCTGGTCACTGCATTATAAAAGGACATGCATTTCTTCTATAGTCTGTCTACAGAAGTTAAAAGAATGTTGCCAAAGCTTAAATTGTAATTGAGGATAGATTACATAGGAATGGGTTGTTTTCCTTTGGTACATCAGCTGGAGGTCAACAAAATAGAGAGGGTTGGATATAGTGGACAGGGAAAAAGTTCCTTCCCTTAGTGGAGAGGTCAGTTACCAAGCAGAGCAGATTTAAGACCAGGATTAGAGAGGACATGAAGAGAAGAAATTTCACCAGAGGGTGGCGGGTGTAGAGAATTCGTTGATCAGTTTGATGGTTAAGTTGGAAGCCTTCAACTCATTAAAAAGGAATTTTGATCTACACTTGAAGTGCTGTAACATGCAAGGTCAATTGCTAGAAAGTGGAATTAGAATAGATGGCTAGTTTATTCAACTGGCTGGGACACGATGGACTGAATGGCTTCTTTGCTGTAATATTCATTTTTCCTCCAGGTAAATAGAATCATTGGACCATAGCAGTGTGAATCCAAGATTAGCATTCTAATCTTAAACAAGCAATGTATGAGGACATGAAAGTCAAGCTATCCAAAATGAACTGGAAAAATCAGTTGTGATTGATCAGTAGAGATGCTATGGCAGATGTTTAAGGAAATATTTCAATGCACAGGCTATTGTCCAATGAGAGAGAAATCCTAATAGGAGGACCCATCATCTGAGAAATATTAAAGATCATACCAAACATCAAGAAGCATATTGTGCAAGTTTGGATGGCAGGTTTGAAGATTAGAAAGAATAATTAATTTTAAAAAAGAGGAAGGGATAAATGATGGTGAAAATTTGGAACATGAGAAAGCTAGTTCAAAATATAATGCCTCACTGGCTTAGCACACTGGAAAACAAGCCCTGCTAATCCTAGAGATGTCACAAAAATTTTGAAAAGGTATGCAGACATTTGCCAATTTCCCTGACTGAAAACCAGGTTGAGACAGCATGAATCACGTTTCTGTATTTAACAAAAATTGTGTATTACAAGTAACTAGTCTTTAGCTACAAGTAAACAATTATGAACTATTAGCATATCACTTTTGTTAAATCACAGACACCTTGAGGCTTCCAATGATTTGCAGGAGGAACAGGTTCTAGTTCAGTGATAAAAGCTCTTTAACTTATTCATTTAAAAGTCACAGCTTCCAGCAACAGCTTATCCAAACAGACTTATCATTCGCCGACCCAAACTGTTCAGCAACCTGAGAATCAATCACATTGTTATTGGTGCCTACCAACAATAGGTCACTACTCTGCAAGCCAACCAGCTACTTGTCATGTAAGATAACAAGGTGTAGAGCTGGATGAACACAGCAGGCCAAGCAGCATCAGAGGAGCAGGAAGGCTGACGTTTCGGGTCTAGACCCTTCTTCAGAAAAAAACTTGTTGTCATATGTTCACATTTTTTTGAGTTCCAGCACGTCTGCCACCTATACCTCAACTACTGCTTGAAGAAGCAGTTTGTTAAATGATGCTTGCAATGAGTATCAAGTTACTGGCTTTCTAAACAATAGCAACCCTCTAGCCAACCTTGTTTTAAAACCATTTTCTTCTGATTTTCAATCTGCAATTACAAATAGAAAAATAAAAAGACAGTTTATGATGCAAATGGGTAATAAGTAATTGGATATTTAATGAGGAAAGAGCTCGACTGAGTCAGCATTGGGATGACAGAATAAGTTTAGGCATTTATAAATGGAAAATGAGGTAGCAGATGATTCAAAGAAGCTTTTTGCTTTAGTCTTCGAGAGGATGCAAGCGATCTCAGAAATAGCTATAAATTAGGACATCCTTCTTGTAGCAGGCAGACCAGAATTGAATGCAGTATTCCAAAAGTGGCTGAACCAATGTTTTGTATGGCTGCAACATGACCTCTCAGCTCCTACATGCAATACACTTACGAATAAAGGCAAATGTGCCAAACGTCATCTTCACTATCCGCCTGTGACTCCACCTGCAAAGGAACTGAGCTTGCGCTCTAAGGTCTCTTTGTTCAGTAACACTCCCTAGAACTTTACCATTAAGTGTATACATCCTGCCCTGATTTGCCCTAACAAAATATACACCTCACATTTATTTAGGTTAAATGCCATCTGCCACTTGGCCCATCTGATCAAAGTTCATTTGTACTCTGAGATAACCTTTGCTGTCCACTACACCACCACTTTTGGTGTCATCTGCAAAATTATGAGACCTATGATCAGCAATCCTCTACCACCACCCTCTGTCTCCTACCATCAAGCCAATTTTGTATTCAAATGGCCAGTTCTCCCTGTATTCTGTATGACCTAACCTTGTTAACCAGTCTACCATGTGGAATTTTGTCGAACACCTTTCTGAAATTGATATAGTCTGTCCACTGGGAAAATGTTCATTCTGGTAGGAAGAGTTGAAAAGAAATATGTTCTCTAAATGTTGAGAGATTGTAGAACTTTAAAACTCAGGTGTTCTAGTATACAAGTTGCGAAAAGCTACTTTGTAGGTGTAACAAGTAATTAGGAAAGCTTAAAAGAATTGAATGTATGACGAAAGGTATGTAGTTATGCTTCAATTGTACAATTTTAAATGCTGTTCTGAGGAAGGGTCATTGTTTCTCTCCACGGATGCTGCCAGACCTGTTGAGTTTCTTCAGCAATTTCTGTTTTTGTACTTGGCTGGAAAGAGATAGGGTGATGAATCAAGCCTGTCATAGAATCCCTACAGTGCGGAAACAGGCCATTTTGGCCCATTGAGTCCACACTGACCGTCTGAAGAGCATCCCACCCAGACCCACCCCCTACCCTATTCCCCATAATCCTGGTTTCTGAAATAGTGCCATGGGAGCTTTTGTTTTCACTTGAGAGAACAGATGGTTTAATGTCTCTTTTGGATGATGCAGTACTTTGTTAGAACTGCATTTAAGTGTTAAGTTTTAGTTTCTGCATTAACCTCCACTTCCTAACACTAGTGGGTGGTCCTACCAAGTCACTGCTGAATACTTATAGATTCAGTGCAAGCTAAATCATGTTGTATAGTTAGAATTATGCAATTGTGTGGTCTTGAATTACTGTGAAATACTTTTGAGTTTGAACTGCAGTTCATTTAGGGAAATAACTTTTGAAAATATGCTTGCTAAATTCCTTGTTGTTCGGGGCTTTTCTTCCCCCCCACCCCCCCACCACCTTTTAGAAGATACTACTAATAGACCTCCGCATAATCTGGTTACTACCTTGGAAGCATGGAAAGACAACTCCAACAAGACTATTCCTAACAAAGCAGCGCCACTAAGGAGGCAAGTAATAAATTTGTACAAATGTATGACTGCTCCTGGTTACAACCTGTGGCTTGTTGGTTGCAGGGGCAAGGTACAGTTGGTGCCATTTTAGCTGTGATGATTTCTGGTACTAAGTTGAGACTGGCGATGTACAGCTGTGAATGCTTTTGTTCAACATTAGTGGCAGCACAGAAACAGACCCTTTGGTCCAACTCATCCATGCCAAGCAGGTTTCCTAAAGGGAGCCTAGTCTTATTTGCCTGCAGTTGGCCCATATTGCTCTAAACCTTTCCTATTCCGATACATGTCTTAAATGTCATAATTGTACTCACCTTTGCTACTTCCTCTGTTACTTTGTTCCATTTACTCACCACCATTGAAAAAGTTGCCCCTTAGGTCCCTTTTAAATCTTTGCCTTCTCCCCTTAAACCTATGCCCTCTAGTTTTTGACTCCCTGCACCCTGGGGAAAAGACCTTGTCTATTCACCCTGTCCATGCCCCTCATGATTTTATAAATCTCTATAAGGTTTACAAGATCACCCCTCAACCTCCAACCCTCCAGGGAAAATAGCCCCGGTCTATTCAGCCTCTCTATAGCTCAAAGCCGGCAAAATCCTTCTAAATCTTTTTTGAATACTTTCAAGTTTCACAACATTCTTCCTATAGCAAGGAGACCAGAATTGCATGTAATATTCCAAAAGTGGCCTAATCAACATCCTGTACAGCTGCAACCTGACCTCCCAACTCCTATACTCAATGCACTGACCAATAAAGCCAAATGCTGCCATCACTATCCTGTCTACCTGGAACTCCACTTCTAAGGAACTACGAACCTGCATTTCAAGATCTTTGTTCGGCAACACTCCCCAGGACCTTACCGTGAAGTATATAAATCCTGTCCTGATTTGCGTTTGCAAAATGCAGCAGCTCATGTTTATCTAAATTAAACTCTCATCTGCCACTCCTCGGACCATTGACCCATCTGATCAAGATCCTGTTGTACTGAGGTAACCTTCTTTACTGTCACTACACCTCCAATTTTGGTGTCTAATAAAAGATTGGGTATGAAATTTGTTTAATGACAAGTGACTTTCCGTGCAGCTTGAATATTTTCTGATTGCAAGTACACAATACATGGGAATGAATGCAAGCGTTTAGAAACAAACCAATGAGAAATTACTGGTCCTTCAAACCCGGGCAATGTGTTGAAATGCCTAAGTACTGACATGACAGTGACTTTTAATTGTAGCATTCTACTACCTTTTGTAGGTCCTAACTTGTTTAAAATTTCAATTTTCACCAGATCGACCCGACGAACATCTGAACAATTAAGAAAACAATTGGGCAAAATTAGAGATGCAAGAATCTCTAAGGAACTGGAATCTTCAGAGCCTCCGGTGAACAAAAAAGCCAAACTGTGAGCTGCTTTATTTAAATTTGCTCCTCTTTGAAGGAATTTGAAGGGTTATGGGTTTGATGGGGGGTGTGCAGGAGGAGAGTGAGTGTTTGGTCTCCTACTTGACCACTAAGGTTGTTCTCATCTTTCCCTTATATATTTCTGTGCCTGATGATGCAACGAATGTTAGAATGGTTATGGGAGAACAGCAAACTTCCAAGTCGGTATCTTTCTACTTTGAGCAGGGGTTGTAAAATGCTGCATGTACCTAATGATAGAATCTCAAGTTATTGGTGGCTGCTTGTTCTTTTACGATGTATGCTGTGGAAACAGGCAATCTTTGCCAAATTTAAGGTTTCCTGGGAAGTTTTCAAATGAGGTATGCATTGTTTACTTAATGTGTTGGCTGGTATTGCAACCATATTTCCACTGCAAAATAGAGTTGCGATGTTGTCAATATTATTCTGCTTTACTGGTTTTCTGAAAGTTTGTCATGTTGAAGAGCTCGCTAAATTTGCTTGATAGCCATTTTAAGCTTGTTTCTGTAAAACAGATGTACCTAGCCAACAACAACTTGGTTTGAGCTGTATTGCTGCAGAGGAATAAATCAAAAAACTAAAATATTCCCTTTTTGTATTAAATATAGGGCTCTGACTGGGAAGAGCTCTGGGAGTAGACCAGGGAGTGTATCTCGGACTCGAACTAAATTGACTTTGCCAGGCACACCAACAGTTCTCAAGTAAGTGTTATTGTTGAAGAATACACCTCCATGTCTTGGGTCTTTGTGTTTTCCTTGACGTTTTATAGCAAGTTCTGGAGAGATTTGCATTTGGCTTATACCGCTTGTTTTGTGAATTGTAAATTTGATCCCTAATGTCTCAATTGCAATTCAGTATTCTGAAATCTTAAAAAGCACTAGGTGACTGCACTAGTCTGTTCTCTCGTCAATGTACCATTTTACTTATCCAATACAGCAACTGAGTGTACTATGCAAATATATTCAGGCTGGATGCTGATTATGTAGTTGTAACCCCTCCTGACTCCCAAAGCCCATTGACCATCTACAAGTCACAAGTCAGAAACGTGATGGAATACTCATTCGCCTGGATAGGTTTAGCTACAACAACACTCCAGCTTGACACTATCCTCATTTGATTGGCACCCTTTCCACCACCTTCAAGATTCGGTCTCTCCTTCACTGATATTTAGTGACAACAGTGTGTGCCATCAACAAGATGCATAACAGAAACTCAAGTTTATTTTGGAAGCATCTTCTAGACCTACATCTTCACCACCTTTTAAAAGACATGGGCAGCAGATGGACGGGAACACTACCTGCAAGCTGTTTGAGACATGTAACATTCTGACGTAGAACTGTAATCACCCTTGACTGTCGCTGGGTCAAAATTCTGGAACTCCCTAACAGTGTTGGGGTGAAATCCATCAATAGTCTTCAATGTTTCAAGATGTTGGCCTTCTATAGGCCAATTGGGGATATGTAATAAATTCTGACTGAGTCAGTGATCCCATATTAAAAAAAAAAAAAAAAAAAATTTTAATAAATGGAATAATTTGAAAACATCTTAGCACATTGGCAACTGAGATTTTATAGATAGTGACTCATCGATTTTTATTCTACAGGAGGAAGCAACACATGGGGTCAAAAGGGAAAAGCACAGAAGAGTTGGAGATGGAAAAAATTGCTCAATTTCAGAAAGAAATAGCAGAGCAGAGAAAACTTAATGAGGAATCACTGAAACTGGCCATATCTGGTGCAGGTACACTAAGCAAGCTAAGGTTGGAAGGAGAATTGTATTTCCCTCTTTGCACAAGCTAGATGCGGTAATTCAGCATAACGTGAACTGTTATCGCAATTGTCTTTCAGGTAATTTTGATAGCAGGATTGTTGATTGCAAGCATCAATCTTTCCCACTTACTAACAGAGAAATTATGTAGTTTAGTTTCCCTTCTGAGTCTGCATAACTCGTGACGCCCCATGCCATGAAGCTTTGCGGACCCTTTAGTTGATTTTATCAACTGAATCACTAGAGAAAGCTAAAGTTCAAGTTTTATGCCAATGCAGAAACTGAATCTAATGCATGTTAAAAGATGCCCCTCTTCAGTTTGTTTTGGTTTCGTTTTACAATATGGCAACTATATCCTGCAGCCTCATTATTTGCACTTGTTTATTGCAATCTGATATATTCATTGCAAGGACATGCCATTAAGTACTTCTATAGCTTCTGGGCTGTTAATGGTAGTTATCTTTAGGAGCTTTTTTAAAAGCTGCACAACTGTGTTTAAATGTTGCAATATAATCTTTGTTACTAGCTGAATATGCTACCTCAAATGGGGCAATTTGAGAACAGATGTGCGCTACCAACTCTTTAAAGCTATTTACTATTTTCAAAGCAAATTCTGTAGCATTGTGAAGATTACACTTTTTCTGCAGTATTAAGTTCCTCGTGGTCTTTCTCTGCAGCTGTATCCCATGTAATGTTGCTCAATTCATGGAAGCACGTCTGGTCCCTTTTTAAATTATTTTGTGTGGCTACCTGGGCATGTTTTCATGTGCATAACCTGTGAGACTTTTTTTTTTTGGATTTTTCTCCAAACTGCATATTTGGATAACAACATGAAATTTATTATACACACTTGTAGCAGATTAATAAAATACCTACTCTCACCAGCCTGAGACACGGGTGAATATTTAATGACTTTTGCTTTGCTACAAGTAACAATACCTTCTGCTAGTCCCATGAAATAACTGCTTAGGTTGTCCTAAGATTGTTTATCTTAAATCCTTTAGTTTTAAAAAAAATTGTGTTTTTGTCTAAATGTAGTATCCTATACACCATCAAGAAGGGTACTGTTTAATGTACTAGTTCCAGCTTTGATTTTTGCCTTTTCAGGTCAGAACAAGAAAAGAACACACATCCCACCTACAAAACCAATGGATATCAAGTTTCACACAGATGAACGCATTAAAATGCACAATGAAAGTCAAGTGGACAGAGTATACAAGGAAGTAGACTTCACCAGTGAACTACGTAAACATCAGCAATTTCCTGTGAGTAGTTTATTGCCACTAGATCTATGGATTGCACGTAGTATTATGATGAGCAGGTAGCACAAAGTAGGTGGAAAGTATTGGATTAATTCTGTTTCACTCTTTCCCTAGTGGTGGTTGAGCATGTTTTAAAAATGGAAATATTAATTGAATTGAAATTAAATGCATAAGCAGACAAATCATTCCACAAGCAATGTTTCTGTCTCATTTTTGCTTTTACTCCAACTGTTGGGTGCTTGATGCAATGTTATCATAATTATTCTGGCTTGTGTGCCTCTAAAGATTACTAATAGTAACCATTCTCGAATCTTGATGGATTTATCTGGCTTTCATTATCAATGTCAAGCTTGTGTTTATCATTCCTTGCTTGGGACTTGCCTGAAGGAGCCATCTTTACATCTTATGAAACCCACCGCAGCCCTACTGCATCAAATGTTTCTTTGGTATATGTTATGACTGAGGTTGCGCACTGGAAATTTAAATCCCTGTACTCCTGGAGTGGCCACAAGTTGAAAATTTTATAAAGTATGCAAAGTTCCCAAATTTGCCTAGCCTTCTGACTTGTCAGTGAAAAACCACAGCATAAAACCACTACTGTAGGAAAGAGAAACTGTGGCTGCATAGTTGTTGGTAGACAAGCAGATCTGTCATTGGTAACTGGTCACTGGTCACTGGTTTGTAGATACATAGCTCAATCAACTTGCTAACAAAAAAATGCATCTGTACGCTCCTTTTGTCAAACTTTGATTACTGCTTCTTCACAGTTGATTTGTAATGTCTGGCATGGGTGTCCGACTACTTGTTTTCAAAATTGCAGCCACTCTTTTTCAAACGATGATTTTTAAAACTGCTGTATTCTGGTTTCATCCCATAGTTTTTAGAAGCAGAAAATAAAAACACATGGTCCTTGCATGTAAAATACACTTGGCCAGTTCTATTCCCTTCTAAGTATGAGAGCAGATTATTACAAAGCGGACAGTCGACACCTGGGCAGGACTGGAATCAATGTCCTAGGGGCTGCTTTTGCTCATGCTGTTGGGGAGGGTTTAAACTAATGTGGCAGGGGGATGGGAACCAAAAGAGGAAGTTAGTGGACAGTAAGGAGGTAGTAACTGAAGCCTGTAAGGAACTAGATAATGAAGTCAGTGTGACTAAGGGGAAGAGGAGGCAGAGAGCAGATGATGAACTCAAAGGGACAGGTGGTCTGAGGTGCATTTGTTTTAATGTGAGAAGTGTAGTAGGTAAGGCAGATGAACTTAAGACTTGGATTAGTACCTGGGAGTGTGATGTTATTGCTATTACTGAGACTTGGTTGAGGGAATGGCAAGATTGGCAACTCTATATCCTGGGATATAGATGCTTCAGGCAGGATAGAGAGGGAAGTAAAAGGGGTGGAGGAGTTGCATTACTGGTCAATGAGGATATCACAGCTGTGCTGAAGGAGGGCATTATGGAGGGCTCAAGCAGTGAGGCAATATGGGCAGAGCTCGGAAATAGGAAGGGTGCGGTAACGATGTTGGGGCTGTACTACAAGCCTCCCAACAGCGAGCGTGAGAGAGGGGCACAAATATGTAGACAGATTATGGAAAGATGTAGTAGCAACAGGGTGGTGGTGATGGGAGATTTTTAATTTTCCCAACATTGACTGGGATTCACTTAGTGTTAGGGGTTTAGATGGAGCAGAATTTATAAGAAGCATCCAGGAGGGTTTTGTAGAGCAGTATGTAAATAGTCCAACTCGGGAAGGGGCCATACTGGACCTGGTGTTGGGGAATGAGCCCGGCCAGGTGGTTGAAGTTTCAGTAGGGGATTACTTTGGGAATAGTGATCACAATTCTGTAAGTTTTAGAATACTGATGGACAAAGACGAGAGTGGTCCTAAAGGAAGAGTGCTGAATTGGGGGAAGGCCAACTGTAGCAAAATTCGGCAGGAGCTGGGGAATGTGGATTGGAGAATGTTGAAAGAAGTAGGACCAATCTGAAACGAGGAATTAAGAGGGCTAAAAGGGTCATGAAATATCTTTAGCAGACAGGGTTAAGGAAAATCCCAAAGCCTTTCATTCGTACATGAGGAGCAAGAGGGTAACTAGAGAAAGGGTTGGCCCACTCCAGGACAAAGGAGGGAAGTTATGCAAGGAGTCAGAGAAAATGAGTGAGATTCTTCAATGAGTACTTTGCGTCGGTATTCACTGAGGAGAGGGACATGATGGATGTTGAGGTTAGGGATAGATGTTTGATTACTCTACTCTAGGTCAAGTCGGCATAAGGGAGGGGGCGGGGGGGAAGTGTTGGCTATTCTAAAAGGCATTAGGGTGGACAAGTCCCCAGGTCCCATTGGGATCTATTCCAGGCTACTGAGGGAAGGGAGAGAGGAAATAGCTGGGGCCTTAACAGATATTTTTGCAGCATCCTTGAGCACGGGTGAGGTCCCGGAGGACTGGAGAATTGCTAATGTTGTCCCCTTGTTTAAGAAGGGTAGCAAGGATAATCCAGGTAATTATAGACCAGTGAGCCTGACGTCAGTGGTGGGGAAGCTGCTGGAGAAGATACTGAGGGATAGGATCTATTTACATTTAGAAGAAAATGGGCTTTTTAGTGATAGGCAGCATGGTTTTGTGCAGGGAAGGTCATGTCTTACCAACTTGATAGAATTCTTTGAGGAAGTGACAAAGTTGATAGATGAGGGAAGGGCTGTAGATGTCATACATGGACTTCAGTAAGGTGTTTGATAAGGTTCCCCATGGTAGGCTGATGGAGAAAGTGAAGTTGCATGGGGTCCAGGGTGTACTAGCTAGATGGATAGAGAACTGTCTCCTGTTGCCCAACCAGAGTTGTAGTGGAAGGGAGTTTCTCAAAATGGAGAACTGTGACCAGTGGTGTTCCACAGGGATCTGTGTTGGGACCACTGTTTTTTGTGATATACATAAATGATCTGGAGGAAGGTATAGATGATCTGATTAGCAAGTTTGCAGATGACACTAAGATTGGTGGAGTAGCAGATAGTGAAGGGGACTGTCGAAGAATGCAGCAGAATATAGATAGTTTGGAGAGTTGGGCGGAGAAATGGCAGATGGAGTTCAATCCAGGCAAATGCGAGATGATGCATTTTTTTGAAGATCCAATTCAAGAGCGAACTATATGGTAAATGGAAAAGCCCTGGGAAAAATTGATGCACAGAGATCTGGGTGTTCAGGTCCATTGTACCCTGAAGGTGGCAATGTAGGTCGATAGAGTGGTCAAGAAGGCATACGGTATGCTTTCATTCGTCAGATGGGGTATCGAGTACAAGAGTTGGTAGGTCATGTTACAGTTGTATAGGACTTTGGTTCGACCACATTTGGAATACTGCATACAGTTCTGGTCGCCACATTACCAAAAGGACGTGGATGCTTTGGAGAGGGTGCAGAGGAGGTTCACCAGGATATTGCCTGATATGGAGGGTGCTAGCTATGAAGAGAGGTTCAGTAGATTAGGATTATTTACATTAGAAAGATGGAGGTTGAAGGGGGGACCTGATTGAGGTCTACAAAATCATGAAGTGTATAGACAAGGTGGATAGCAAGAAGCTTTTTCCCAGAGTGGGGGACTCGATTACTAGGGGTCACCATTTCAAGGTGAGAGGGGAAATGTTTAAGGGAGATATGCGTGGAAAGTTCTTTACGCAGAGGGTGGTGGGTGCCTGGAATGCGTTGCCAGCGGAGGTGGTAGAGGTGGGCACGATAGCGTCGTTTAAGATGTATCTAGACAGATACATGAATGGGCAGGGAGTAGAGGGATACAGATCCTTGGAAAATAAGCGACAGGTTTAGATAGAGGATCTGGATCAGCGCAGGCTTGGAGGGCCAAAGGGCCTGTTCCTGTGCTGTAATTTTCTTTGTTCTTTGTTCTAGAATGGCTGTGAAAATTAAAGAGAACATAAAAATCTTCATCTGGCATGTAAATGAAGTGTATAATTATAGGTATTTTTTAAAACAACCTGTTCAGATGTGTTATGACACACCTCTTGGGAAGGTGGGACTTGAGCATAGACACACTGGCCCAGAGGTAGGGGCACTAGCACTGCACTACAAGACTGCCTAATGGGAACAAAGCATCTTTCCCCACAGTCAAATGTCAAAGCACTGTTGATATGTCTGTAATTTTTGAACTGGGGTTTTTTTTTTTTTGCCTGTTAGATGAATGTGATGACTATACTACAGAACTGTTCAGATTTAAGGTTTTGGGTGAGAGTTGCTAGATGAAATGTGGGGAAGAACTCTTTTGTGTGACGAGTGGTGAAGATCTGGGGTGGAGACAAATAATCTCTGAATTTGAATTTGAGCAAGGAAATTCAATGGCGACTTGAAGGAAACAAACTTGTAGGGCTATGGGGATCGAGTGGGAGGGTGGGATTGACGAGAAGCTCCAAGGACAGCCACCTTAGGCTTGATGTACAAAATGGTCACCTCCTGTGCAATGAAATGACAACCATTTTCCAGTTGCCTTTTTGTGCTGCGATCATGGAGTTTGCTGGGCTAGGGAACTATCGGTCAAGTTGATATATCTCTTATTGGCTGATTTTATGCAGATAACAACATTCATTTGTCTGTTAAGTCCTGCATTGTGCTGCTGCTTTTTTTTGTTTTGGTGCTCTAATGTTGTGCCTTGGAAGTACAGAGGCAATGCCAAAGTACTAATCATAACTTGGGAAAGTTCTAGTTCTTAAATGTTTTGGCTGACTTTCGGATTGGTCTTGGTCCATTCAGTTCTATAAGTTAACACCATCTGCTGCCAACTGTGGCTCAGTTAGTAGCACTCACGTGAACCTGAATATTGTGCACAAGTGCCACTCTGGACCTCCTAATATGAAAACCAAAGTTGACACTTCAGACAGCACAGCACTCACTTTGTACTGCATTGAGGTGCCATCATTTAGATGAGTTGATTTAACCAAATGCCCTTTCCATTCCCTCAAGTGGCAATATTTTGAAGAGCCATGAGTTATCCTGTGCCCTGGCCAATATTTATCTCTTGGTTGACATCCCATTGAATGATGTTTTGTTCATTTTTGACGTTGCTGTTTTGAAGCTTGCTATGTGCAAATTAGTTTTTCCTATATTGCAATAGTAAAAAAAGTGCTGTTTGGTTGTAAAATGCATGGGAATTATTTGTGATTGTGAATGGTGCTATTAAGTACAAGCCTCTTTTTCCCCCTTTTTTTAGTTTTGACCCAGAATTGAACCGGTTTGAAGTGTTGGCAGCTAACCATGTCGATTATATATTAATTTGCAATATGTACTATCTGCTTTCATTCATCCTGACCACTTGCTGTACAGATGCGTGGACACAAAGGAGCTACGGTACCAAAGCCTTTCAACCTGTCATGTGGGAACAAAAGAAAGCATGAGGCTACAAACAACCAAGAATATGTTTCTCTGGCACAGCAGGTGGAAGCATTTCAGTGTCGCACACCATCGCGATACCAGCTGAGGAGCAGTCATCAGGTAGAAGAAGGTAATCTGAAATTTCCCCTAATTTTAAACAGGTGACTAAATCCTAAAATAACCAATTTTGCCTTTAAAGATTAATGTGCCTAACTGCCACATATCCTTGTTTTTTCCAGATTCTTTCAACCATGTTTGGTAGATCATCTAGCTTAGAATTTAATTCTCAACAAGATCACCTCCTGTATTGGGTGATTGTACTAAAAGAGCACATTAGCTTCTAGTAGAACAGTTTTCCTTGTACTTCAGATTTAACAGCACAACTTTGACTTTTTTTTTGAGGTGACTGAGAACAGTAGACAGTGATAATGCATTAGAAATAATTTATCTGCATTGTTAAAAAGCATCGATATTTTACCCTGTAATATACTAATGAATGAGGTCCAGGAACATGGAGAATGGATTGCTAGCTGCCTTTTGAGTTGAAAAACAGTGGGAGTAATAGGTAATTATACAGTGTAGCTGAAGTCAGGATGCATGTCCTACAAGGGTCCACACTGGAAACACTGCCACTCATAATTGACTATTTAATATCTTGTACATAAATTTTGGATTCAGAGACATAATTTATGGATGGCACCCAATGGATGAAGTGAGTGGGTGATGGTTAATACTGAAGAAGGCTACAACAAATTGTGGATATGTTTGTTTGTTTTTGTTTGTTTATAAACTTGGCAGAGTGGGCAATAATTGGTCTACCCTAAAGAAATTGTGCATTTGTTGTTTTGTCACTTGCAAGGTGTCAATGTAGGTGAAGTAGAGGAACAAAGATCTCAAAAGTGCAAATGCATTGATCACTAACAGTTGGGCAAGACCATAACAGAGCTAACCAAGCACTAATGCTTTGTTTGTTGAGAAGGGGAATTGGAAAGAAGGGAAGACATTGGAAAATTTGTATTTAATCTTGGTTAGACCTCCCATTTTAATAACAATGGCATATAGTATCTAAAGAATATTGAGGCACTAGTGAGGATATATAGAAGCATTGTATGGACAGTGCCTGAAATGTAGGGTTATACATATAATGGAAGGATCTACTTCCCTTCTCTGGGCATTCAGCCGCTCCAAGGATCCATGATTGGAAGTCACTGCTATGCACAGACCTTGAATGACTGTGCAGCAGGAAAGAAAATTGGACTAAGCACCACTCGGGAGTGACCAAACAGGTGTTTTCAAAACAATATAAAATTTTGGTGGAGTGGATGCAGTCTTGTGGGGAAGAGCGTAACTAGAGGCTATCAATGTAAATAATCTCCAATACACCCAATGGGGAAATTTAGAAGAAACTTTTGCACTCTGAAATTGTGTGTGTGAAACTTCCTATCTGAATGTTGAGGAGACCATGATAGCTGTATTTTAAGAGGAAGCTATACAACTGTGTGGGAAACTGAGGTTGAGAGGGACTTGGAAAGGAGGGTGCTCAAGTAGAGAATAAATGCCTGTATGGACCTGCTCCGTTAAATGCCCTGCTTCAGTATCAACTATTAAGAATAATTCCAAACTGATTTTAAGGGCTTTTGATGCATTGCTTTTGGTCTCCTCGTATTCTGACATTACTACCTTGTACTAGTTATGCTCAGATTCTGGGCAATTTTCCAGACTGGATAACCCCAAACTCTTAATATCCTGGCTCCACTTTTTTTATTCAACCACTCCCTCTGGGAGTTTATTTAAGTTAATTTCAAGGATCCCTTTTTCTTCCAGACCAAATGGAATTTGGCTCCATTTTTAAAGAACGCATAGCCAGGATTTTTTGAATTGCAAAATTGAAATGCAAAAAGAAGTACTAGCACAACACATGTAATTAGAAATGAGTTGTGTCCTAAAAGTAAAAGTTGTATGCTTTAGCTGATCTTCATGAAAAGTTCAATGTTGTGGTCATTGTTAGATTGCACTGTTAGTGTTGATTTTTGCAGTTGAATAGTCAATTTTCAAAATCCTTTGTTTGGTAGGCTAACTAAAGTTCCTGATTTTTTTTTTTCGATTGATTTACAATACTTTTGAGAAAGAAGTCATCCATTATTTACCTCCCGTGCAGGGGTGTTTATTGGCTGTTCTAAAACCTTGACTTCCACAGAATACTAGACACATTCTAGTCCATAGCTTAACACACAAACTGGTGTTGAAGTTCTCTTTTAATACTTTCTTGCCTAGTCCTGGAAAGGAAAACCACAAAACTGCCAGCGTCCTTCGTGAGTTGCTTTAGTCATTCTGCACACTGTAAACTGCCATGCATTTATCCCCAAGAGTCCACCTGTTTTCAAACTATTTATTCTACTTGTCTTTACCAGACCTCCCAAATGCTTTTTCTCCTTTCGTGCTCCATCTTGATGCCTCTCCCTCTGCTAAATTAGTTTGTCTTCCTACGTGTTCTAAATCTCCTTGTGGTTACTGGTCCCAGCCGTGTAATGGCACAACCCATCCATGTTGCACAGAGAAGCCTGTAATGTTACCTGCTGATTGAAATATGTAGTACAGGGAGTGTTACTGTTGAAGTTGCAAGTGATATTTTCATGTCTAATGTAAAACTGTACTGTGGAATGTTGCATACTCTCAACATGTCATTGTCAGAAATTAAAACAGACCTCTCCAATAATTCCTTGTTTCCTGCCCATCTGAAAATTCCAACTATCTAAGTACTCAGTTAACAGACATCTATCAGCTCCTAAATAAGAGAAATTCAATGGAATTTCCACTGTGGAATGACTGGTTGACCGAACCCAATCCCTTTTTCATTCCTGTTCCCTTTCTGACTCTGTCTGTCTGAGGAACCTGTATGGTCCAGAGGTTTGAACATGACCGAGTTTGTGTCTAGACTGTATCAATATGGAGCCATTTAAACTTTATTCATGTATGGTAACTTGTTTTCATTGGAACAAACCATAGCTAATCTGCTCACTCCTGCATTCCATATCCTTTTCTGTTCAGATATTTATGCAATTTTTCTTGTACCAGTGGACTCTGCCTCAGCTACTCCTTTTGCAAAGCATTCTAAGTTCCCACCAACTGGCCAGCTGGGTCATGTTAGCTATATTTGAAATCTAGTGTAAACTACAAATGTATTGTCTTTGGCACTGACGCTGAAGTTGACAAACAGCCCAGGTCTGCTTTGAATATTTGAAACTTAGATTGTGTGCACTGCACACACATTCCTGATTTAAAACTACGTTGCAGGGACTGGAGGGTTTGAGTTATAGGGAGAGTCTGAATAGACTGTGGCTTTTTTCCTTGGAGAGGTGGATGCTGAAGGGTGATCTTGTAGAATCATGAGGGGTATGGATAGGCTGAATAGCAATGGTCTTTTTCCTTGGGTGGGGGAGTCCAGAACTAGAAGGCATAGGTTTTAAGGTGAGACGAAAAGTTTGAAAGGGACCTGAGGGAAACCAAACTTTTCACACAGCTGGTGATGCGTGTATGGGATGAGCTGCTACATGAAATGGTGGAGATGGGTACAAATACAACATTTGAATGGTATATGAATGGGAATAGAAATGCTGGCAAATGGGACTAGGTTGGGTGAGTTCGACTGATGGGTTTGTTTCCATGCTGTATGAATCTATGACTAACCTAGAAAGGGACAAAGATCAGTTGGCCTCACTCAGCCATGTTGCAAATGAACATCATAACTGCCCCATGTTATCAGATCAAGCCCTTGATAAAGGGTGACCAAGATGCATCCTGGCAAGCTTTTCCTATAGAACAGTATTTGCTGCTTTTCAGGAGTTTTGAATTTTCTTAGTGTTTGCTGCAAGTGCAGACTTGCACAAACTGGGATCTTATTCAAAAGATGTTTAAGGGAAAAGACCTTCAAATATCTAGCCTAGATTTAAGTTTGTCTAACCGGACATATCTACTCACTGACCCTAAGCTGCTTGCTTAATATACTTTGTTCACATACGCAGTAGCTAACTCCTTCATTTTAATAACCACATTGCCTCAAATCCATATTGTTGATTATTTTGTTTAAAAAAAAAGAGACAGCTGAGTCTAATGTGACATATTTTACACTAGATATTGGCCTTCCTCTGAACCTTTTTTGAGTCTCCAACTGCAGCATATGAATAAAGAGAAAGAGTTAGCCACTTGGCCCGTCAAGCCTGCTCTGCCATTCAGTAAGATCCTAACTGATCTGATTTGAATCGCAACTCTACATTCCTGTGTACTCCCAATTTTAGCTTTACATCTCCTTAATAATCAAGAAACTATCTACCTCTGCCTTAAAAAGAAACTTAAATTCTGCATCCACTGCCTTTTTGAAGATCATAGAATCTCTACAGTGTGGAAGCAGGCCATTTGGCCCATCCACTTCACTTCAACTCTCCGAAGAACATTCCACCCAGTCCCACACCCCTGTCCCTATCCCCATAACCCTGTTTGCCATGGCTAATTCACCTAACCTACACGTCCTTGAACAATATGGGGTAATTTAACGTGACCAATTTACCTTGCCTGCACAGATACTCCATTGTCTTAAATGGTTGCCAGCTTTATTTTAAACAATGACTCCTAGTTCTAGATGCTCCCCTAAGAGGAAACATCCTTTCTTCATCCACCTGGTCAAGTTCTCAGGATCTTGTGTTCCTTTTTTTCTGTCCTAATACCCTGTCATCCCTCTATCCTAAGGACTGGATCTAACTACTTGTTGGAACAATTCAATATTTGGTTTCAACCAATTTCTGGAGTAGAGAATTCCACAGGTACACCGCTCATGCTCTCCCTCAGTGAAAAAATTTCTCCTCCTATCAGTCCTAAATGGTCTACACCGTATCGTCAGACTGTGTGACCCTTGGTCCTGGAGTCCCCCTGTTATTGAGAACATCCATCCTGCATTTACCCTGTCTAGTTCTGTTCGAGTTTGAGATCTGAGATCACCCCCCCACCAAACTTCAAACCACGCATATAGTCAAACCAATCTAGTATTACTAGTTTTCCTGATTACTTGAAGATTGCTACATTTGAGGACCAGAATTAAAAACATTTATTGATTTTAAAATCTAATCAAGGTTGCACAAAGTCACTGATTTGCAAGATGAAGATTTATTGTATTCTCTCCCAAGGTCATTGCAAGGTCTCTGAAAAGACCAAGCTAACTAGACCACATACTCCCATGCTGGCAACTAAGACCCGTGCTCGGCCAACAACTTGCAAGAGTACAGCTGAAATAGAAGCTGAAGAACTGGAGAAACTACAGTCGTAAGTGTGTGGTTTCAAAAGCCTAGAATGTTTCCCTACGTTTTTCAATATTTTAGAGCTGGTGCACCAAGTTTCCACTTGACAAGTATTTTGTCAGATTTGCAATTAGGATTTTCTCTTTCAAGGTTGATCACTGGAATATGTGTGAAGATTTAGTTTGTAAATTGCAATATTGGAACTGTTGGATCCTGAAATTGTTAAGTTACACACCTCTGGTCTGATTTGTTTGAATGTAGGGTGGAGTCCATTCTTTTTGTTACTTATTTCCGTGTGCTATGAATGTCCACTTGAATTTTGTCAATCTCTCGCTGGCTTTCTTAGATCTATGTAAAGTCCATCCTTGTATGTGGATAGCCCTGACTGAAGCTACAAATGGCTGTTCAGGCTTTTGAGCTTGTAGAACTGTGGAATCAGCCAGTTAGCTTTCTAAGTCCTGGTATCAGTCCTGCTGGAATATGGAATAATGTCGCTCTTCCAGTTTAGTTTGTATTTTTTTAAAAACTACATCCACTAAACTAAATAAGGTTGAAGCCCCTTTGTTTTACATGCATCAGGCCTAAGATGCAAGAAAAAGGGACACAAATTTAAATAGCATAAAATAAAACAAGCAACCGTCAATCTTCCTTCTCTGACCAAGCGGACTGTTAAGGGCATTGCCAGCAGAGTTTAGCTGTCTCCAAAGCCCTATTGTTTCTTAGATTAAAATGCTGCACGGTATGTGCAAATCCTTTGCATACATAGAACAGGATCCTGTATGTTAATATCATATTTGCTAAGAATTACACTGAAACCAACTAAATGTTATCAGTTGGGTTCACATTCACACATACTAGGAGCTTTATGCATTAACACAGGATCCTGTTTTATGTAGACAAAAGGAATACAAGTGCTGAATCTTAGAGGAGCATAAAGAAGGGTTATGGAGACTGCCAATCTCTGGTCATGGGAAAGCAATCAAAGTCTATTTGCTTGGCTCTAAGATTGGTTAATTATTCCTGCATAGTGTTAGATCCAGTGATGGTCATGTCAAGGAGGAATGGTTAAAATCTCACATTGGAGATTGCCAGGCAATGGCTCGTTTTTAATGCCAATTATTAGATAATAACCTAATAATTAGATCAGGTTTTGGTACGTATGGAAACGGACTGTTGCTGTATATAAGGAGTCATAAAAGATGCTGAATGTTGTGTATTCATCAGTTAATTTTAAATCTGAGCTTACTTAACAAAAATTTCTGAGGTATGAAGTTAGTCCACAGATCAGCCATGATCTCCGTTGAGGCTTGAGCAGAATGGTCTACTCCTGTTCCTGTCAGTGAACATGTCCACTTGTGACCTCACGATTTGAGGTAAGGTCACTGTTGCAGCTCAACATGCTTGAGTCCAAGGCAACAATGTGCAATGTTGTCCTGGATCTGAGACAATTGATAGTCAACAAACATAACCATCTTCCTTTGTCCTTAATTTGACTCCAACAACTGAAGGGTTGTGCCCCACCCCCACCCAGATTCCCACTGAATGCAGTTTGCTTGATGTGATAAATGCTGCTTTAATATCTAAGGTATTCCCTCTCACTCGGATAATTGTAGCCTTGGACAAACATGAAGCCAGGAACTGGGTGCCCCTGATGGAACTTGAATTGGGCATCATTTTAGCAGGTCATTGCCAAGTAAGTGCAGCTTGATTGCACTGTTGACCACTCCTCTAACATTTTGCTGATCAGGCTTCAGAGTTGAGGCCTTGAGTAGATGGTTAGAGGGAACATAGAGAACACCGGTCCATTTGGACTTTTCTCCTTGGATATTCAGTGAAAGTTAAGTAACCAATTACAGTTTCATGTTGAAATGTTAGGGATCCAAATTAGTGATTATTGAGAGAGATTGGACCGGAAATTAATTCAGACCTGATTCCTGCTTTTACAGGTACAAATTTAAAGCCCAGGAAGTAAATCCCCGACTTCTCGAGGGAGGCCCCATTCTTCCAAAGAAGCCACAAGTTAAGGAACCAACAAAAGCTATTGGTTTTGATCTGGAGATAGAGAAGCGCATCCGTGAGAGAGAGGAAAACAGAAAGCCGGAAGAGGCAGAGGATCACAGTTTCCACTCGCGTCCTTGTCCTACTAAGATACTAGAAGATGTAGTGGTAAGCTTTCTTCTGTTTCTTTACTCTGCAAGGAAAATGGGGAGTTTCAAGTGTTTATTGTAATATGAGAATTAATTCCTAGGTTCTGTACAGCAGGAAAATCTGGCTCTGAACTACCCAAAGTTATAATTTTTAGATGTTTTATGATAGTTGGTTAATTGGATCATTCAAGGGCACCTTCCCTTTGATTGGAGGTTGCTGTTCTTTGAGCTAAAGCAATATTTCGTCAAGTTCCTAACCTGTTGATTCATTTCATTTGTACAAAAATAATTTTAATTGCATGTGGTTTGTTTCACAACCCATGAATACTTTCTTGCAGGGAGTTCCAGAGAAAAGGCTGCTACCCATAACCATGCCTAAATCCCCAGCTTTCACAATGAAGAACAGAGTGAGAATTCCACGCAAGGAGGAGAAGGTAAGAACATAGATTATAATCTAATAATAGATGACAAATAAAAGTTCAGGCCCTCTTCTGACTATTACAAATACAAACTAATTTACTCATGCTTCATTTTGAAAGCGACAAAGCAATCAGCTGCCACCATATAATTTTAGAAATGTTCAACATGAAAGGAGGCCATTTGGCCTGATGCACACTGCCAGGTAGTAACCATAGCAGTAACTTGTTTAACAACAACTTTTTAATGTAATGGAACATCCCAAGGTATTTCACAGTAGCATTGTAAAGCAAAAGAATGATACTGAAT